TTTGAGAAATCTCCATACTGTTTTCCATAGTGGCTGTACCAGTTTGCATTCCCAACAACAGTGTATGAGGGTTCCTTTTTCTCCACAACCTCTCCAACATTTGTCGCTCTTGGTTTTGGATGTTTTTGCCAATCTAATGGGTGTAAGGTGATATCTTAGTGTAGTTTTGATTTGCATTTCCCTGATGATTACCGATGATGAACATCTTTCCATGTGTCTATTGGCCATATTTATATCTTCTTTTGAGAAATGTCTGTTCATGTCCTCTGCCCATTTTTTGATCGGGTTGTTTGTTTTTTTGTTGTTAAGCCACGTGAGTTTTTGTATATTATGGAGATTAACCCTTTGTCGGATAAGTGGCTTGTAAATATTTTTTCCCAATTAGTGAGCTTTTTTTTTTGTTTCAATCCTGTTTTCCCTTGCCTTAAAGAAGCTCTTTAGTCTGATGAAGTCCCATTTGTTTATTCTTTCTATTGTTTCCCTCAACTGAGGAGTTATAGTGTCCGAAAAGATTCTTTTGAAACTGATGTCAAAGAGTGTACTGCCTATATTCTCTTCTAGATGACTTATTGTTTCAGGCCTAATCTTTAGGTCTTTGATCCACTTTGAGTTGATTTTGGTGTGTGGTGGAAAAGAATGGTCAATTTTCAATCTTTTGCATGTCGCTGTCCAGTTTTCCCAGCACCATTTGTTGAAGAGACTTTCTTTCCTCCATTGTAGGCCCTCAGCTCCTTTGTCAAAGATTAGCTGTCCATAGATGTGTGGTTTTATCTCTGGGCTTTCAATTATGTTCCATTGATCTGTGGACCTGTTTTTGTACCAGTACCATGCTGTTTTGATCACTGTAGCTTTGTAGTATGTTTTGAAATCGGGGATTGTGATTCTGCTGGCTTTCTTTTTCTTGCTCAGGATTACTTTAGCAATTCGTGGTCTTTTGTTGCCCCATATGAATTTTAGGATTCTTTGTTCAATTTCTGTGAAGAATGTTCTTGGGATTCTGGTTGGGATAGAATTGAATCTGTAGATTGCTTTAGGTAGAACGGACATTTTAACTGTTTATTCTTCCAATCCATGTGCGTGGAATGTCTTTCCATCTCTTTATGTCGTCGTCAATTTCTTTCAAGAAAGTCTTGTAGTTTTCATTGTATAGATCCTTCACTTCCTTGGTTAAGTTTATCCCAAGGTATTTTATTCTTTTCGTTGCGATTGTGAATGGGATTGAGTTCTTGAGTTCTTTTTCTGTTAGTTCATTGTTAGTGTATAGAAATGCTACTGATTTATGTATGTTGATTTTATACCCTGCTACTTTTTGCTGTAGTTGTTGATTATTTATAATAGTTTTTCTATGGATTCTTTGGGGTTTTCTATATATAAGATCATGTCGTCTGCAAACAGCGAGAGTTTCACTTCTTCATTACCTATTTGGATTCCTTTTATTTCCTTTTCCTGCCGAATTGCTCTGGCCAACACCTCCAGTACTATGTTGAATAGGAGTGGTGAAAGTGGGTACACTTGTCTTGTTCCTGTCTTCAGATGGATGGCTTTCAGTTTTTGTCCATTGAGTATGATGTTGGCTGTGGGTTTGTCATATATGGCCTTTATTATGTTGAGGTACTTTCCTTCTATACCCATTTTATTGAGGGTTTTTATCATAAATGAGTGTTGGATCTTGTCAAATGCTTTCTCTGCATCTATTGAGATGATCATGTGGTTTTTGTTTTTCATTTTGTTGATGTAGTGTATCACGTTGATTGACTTGCGGATGTTGAACCATCCCTGTGTCCCTGGTATAAATCCCACTTGATCATGGTGTATAATCTTTTTGATGTATTGCTGTATTCGGTTTGCCAGAGTTTTGTTGAAGATTTTTGCATCTATGTTCATCAGTGTTATCGGCCTGTAGTTCTCCTTCTTTGTGTTGTCCTTGTCAGGTTTGGGGATCAGAGTGATGTTGGCTTCATAGAATGTGTTAGGGAGTACTCCATCTTCCTCATTGTTCTGGAATAGTTTGAGAAGAATAGGTATTGTCTTCTTTGAATGTTTGGTGGAATTCTCCAGAGAAGCCGTCTGGTCCTGGACTCTTATGTTTGGGGAGGTTTTTGATTACTGTTTCTATTTCCTTACTTGGGATTGGCCTATTCAGATTCTCCATTTCTTCCTGATTCAGTTTGGGGAGGTTGTAGGAGTCTAGGAAGTTGTCCATTTCTTCCAGGTTGTTCAATTTGTTGGCATATAGTTTTTCATAGTATTCTCTTATGATCCCTTGTATTTCATTGGCATCTGTTGTGATTTCTCCTCTCTCATTCCTAATTTTATTTATTTGAGATTTCTCTCTTCTTTTCTTGGTGATTCTGGCTAAAGGTTTGTCGATTTTGTTAATTTTTTTGAAGAACAAGCTCTTTGTTTCATTGATCCTTTCTACTGTTTTTTTTTGTTTCAATATCGTTTATTTCTGCTCTTATTTTTATTATTTCCCTCCTTCTACTGACTCTGGGCTTTGTTTGTTCTTCTTTTTCTAGTTCTGTTAGGTGTCGTTTGAGGTTGCTTATGTGAGCTTTTTCTTGTTTAGTGAGGTGAGCCTGTATTGTGATGAATTTCCCTCTTAGGACTGCTTTTGCTGCATCCCAAATGATTTGCTATGCAGTGTTCTCATTTTCATTTGTCTCCAGATAATATTTGATTTCTTCTTTAATTTCTTCAATAATCCATTGTTTGTTCAGAAGCGTGTTGTTTAGTCTCCACATTTTTGCACCTTTCTCTGCTTTTTTCTTGTAGTTGATTTCTAGTTTCATAGCATTATGATCAGAAAAGATGCTTGATATTATTTCAACTCTCTTGTAATTATTGATGTTTGCTTTGTTTCCCAAAATATGGTCAATCCTTGAGAATGTTCCATGTGCACTTGAGAAGAATGTGTAACCTGCTGTTTTTGGATGAAGTGTTCTATATATATCTATTAAGTCCATCTGGTCTGATTTTTCATTTAATTCTATTATTTCCTTGTTGATTTTCTGTCTGGATGATCTGTCCATTGGTGTTAATGGTGTGTTGAGGTCCCCTACTATTATTGTATTGTTGTTGATGTCTTCTTTTAGTTCTGTTAAGAGTTGCTTTACAAATTTTGGTGCTCTTGAGTTGGGTGCGTATATATTTATAAGTGTTATGTCTTCTTGGTGGAGAGTCCCTTTTATCATTATGTATTGTCCATCTTTGTCTTTCTTTATCTGTTTTGCTTTGAAGTCTACCTTGTCTGATATTAGTATAGTGACACCTGCTTTCTTTTGTTCATTATTAGCTTAGAGTATTGTTCTCCATCCCTTCACTCTGAGTCTGTGTTTGTCTTTGGGGCTGAGGTGTGTTTCCTGGAGGCAGCATATCGTTGGGTCTTGTTCTTTGATCCATCCTGCCACTCTGTGTCTTTTCATTGGGGAGTTCAATCCATTTACATTTAGAGTGATTATTGAGATGTGGGGGCCTACCACTACCATTTTATGTCTTGTTTTCCAGTTTTCTTCAATTTCCTTTGTTTCTCGTCCCATGGTTTAATCTGTTCTGATGAAGAGCTGCTTCTCTCTGTTGTTGTCCTTCTACTTATCTCCTCTGCTCTTGGTTTTGTAGCCCCTTTCCTTTTTCTGATTTTTCAGGAATGAGGGTTTTCCTGAGGATTTCCTGAAGAGGAGCTTTTGTGGCAATGAACTCCCTTAATTTTAATTTTTTTTATCTGGGAAGGTTTTTATTTCTCCATCGTATTTGAAGGATATTTTCGCTGGGTAGAGAATTCTCGGCTGTAGGTTTTTGTCCTTCAGATTTTTGAATATATCATTCCACTCTCTTCTAGCCTGTAAAGTTTCTGCTGAGAAATCTGCTGATAGCCTGATGGGGGTTCCTTTGTAGGTTAGTTTCTTTTGCCTGGCTGTCCTTAGTATTTTCTCCTTGTCATTGACTTTTGCTAGCTTCACTACTATATGCCGTGGGGTTGGTCTTCTTGCATTGATAAATTTTGGAGATCTATTGGCTTCTGTCACCTGAAGATCCATCTCTCTCACCAGATTTGGGAAGTTCTCAGCCATTATTTCTTTGAATAGGCTTTCTGCCCCTTTCTCCTTCTCTTCTCCCTCTGGTATACCTATAATCCTTACGTTGCATCTCCTAATTGTGTCTGATAATTCTCGGAGAGTTTCTTCATTTCTTTTTAGTCTTACTTCTCTCTCCTCCTCTGCCTGCAGCATTTCTATATTCCCATCTTCCAAATTGCTAATTCTTTCCTCCATATTATCGGCCCTACTGTTCAGTGCATCTAGATTTTTCTTAATCTCCTCTATTGTGTTCTTCATTTCCAGTATTTCTGTTTGGTTCTTCTTTATCATATCAAACTCTTTTGTGACATAGCTCCTGAACTCGTTGAGTTGTCTATCTGAGTTCTCTCTTAACTCATTGAGTATTTTAATGATGGCTGTTTTGAAGTCATCGTCATTTAGGTTATATATTTCATTTTCTTTGGGATTGTTGTCTGTGTATTTGTTGTTTTCCTTCTGTTCTGGAGATTTAATGTATTTTTTCATATTGCTTGATGTAGATTTGTGCCTCCGCATAGAGATAGAGATTAGTTGCTCCTTCCACTTGTTTCTGCTGGTGTGGTGGGGGAGCAGCTGTTTATACTGCACCAACCAGGAACCCTATCCGCAGTTGCTAAGTGGGCCTGGGCCCCTCCTCGTAGTCACAGTGGTCCTTTGGATTCCCTCTTCTGCTGTGGGGGCCGTCACGGGGGGGCTTCAGGCTGCTGGTGCCTACTGTTGCAGCCCACCTAGACGTGCTCCCTCCTTGGGGTCTGCAATGGTGTTGTGGGCTTTTCCAGCGGTCAGGGGTAGGATCACTTATATTTGTCGCTCCGTCACTGTCGGCACCCACAAAATCTCACTTGTCCACTATGGGTCGCAGGAGAGCTATTGGCATCTTCTACAGTCTGTGGTTAGCTCCCCTAGCTATGCTACTTTTGTCCCGGGGTCTTCCAGCCTTGTGGCTGCTGGATGGGTGCTCTCTACTAGTGCTGTGCAGAGGCTTTCACTGAGGCTGCTGTGAGCCTGTAGGGTTTCCCCCAGGCTACGGAGCCAGGTCGCTGGAACGCCACCCAGCCCCAGTCCTGTTCCCCAGGAACTCGGGGAGCCCTTTGCCCTGACTGGGGAATAGCCAGAAATCCTGATTTCAGTGGTAGCTGGTCAGCTGCTGCCCTGCCTGATATTTTCCTCTCTGGGACCCTCCTGGTGTTGTGGATGCTGGGCGTGGCCCCTCCGCTAATGGCAGACAGAGAGTTTTGTCTGCTGCCCAGGCGGAACTCTGGAGCTTCCCCCCCAGGCCACGGAGCCGGCCTCTGGAGCTCCACCCAGCCCCAGTCCTCTCCGAGATCTCCAGCAATCCCTTGCTCCACAGGGTGGGCAATGGCAGCTGGGGGTCACCGCGTCCTCTGGGATTCTCTCTGGGAATTTCCCAGAGTGGTGGATGCTGGGCGTGGCCCCTCCGCTAATGGCAGACAGAGAGTTTTGTCTGTTGCCTGGGCGGAACTCTGGAGTTTCCCCTCTGGGGCGCGGAGCCGGCCTCTGGAGCTTCACCCAGCCCCAGTCCTCTCCGAGAGCTCCGGCAATCCCTTGCCCGGCCATGCAGCCAGTGGCAGCCAGGGGTCTGCCATGCCCTCTGTGATTCTCTCTGGGATCCTCCAGGTCCCATGGACACCAGGTGGGATCTCCCCGCCAATGGCGGGGCGAGACTCTCCCCACAGGCTCAAGTGTGTAACTCTAGAGTTTCCCTCTGTGTTTAGGAGTAATTGTGGGGGTTTAGGTAGGGTTCTGGTCACCTGTTTCCACCGTCGCTCCTCTGGTGTGTGCTCGCTCCTGCCCTAGGTGTGTGTTGATCTTCTGGGGGCGTCCGTTGGAAGAAAGCCGCTTGCAGGTACTAGGCTGTTCGGTCGGGGTCAGAGAGTTTTCACCTATCTCCACCTCCTCCCGGAGGGAAGTCCATCCACCTTCCAATGTATAGTCGCGTGGGTCTCTCAGACGTCCTGAGATGCTATCTGGATATCCTTTGTTAAGTGATGAGTGTCCAAATAATTGTAGGCTCGAAGGGGGAGAGACAAAGAGGACTGCTCATGGTGCCATCTTGGATCTTCCCTCCTATTCTTGTCTTATTTTAAGAAGTTGCCACAGTCACTCCAACCTTCAGCAACCACCACCCTGATCAGTCAGCAGCCACAGACATCAAGGCAAGACCCTCCACCAGCAAAAAGATTACAACTTGCTGAAGGCTCAGATTATAGTTAGCACTTTTTAGCAATAAAGTATTTTTAATTAAGCTATGTACATTTTTTAGACATAATGGTATTGCACACTTAATAGACTACAGTATAGTGTAAACAGAACTTTCATATGCACTGGGATACTGAAAAATGTTTGTGACACACTTTGTTGGGATATATGCTTTATTGCAGTGGTCTGGGATTTAACCCACAATATCTCCAAGATATGCCTGTATAGAAAATCCTAAAGACTCAATGAAAAACCATTGGAACTAATTAATAAATTCAGTAAAATTTCAGGATGTAAAATCAACATGCAGAAATCAGTTGTTTTTCTATACACTAACAACAAAATGTCTGAAAAAGAAATAATGAAAACAATCCCATTCACAATAGCATTGAAAGTAAAAAATACTTAGGAATAAATTTCACAAGGGAAGTGAAAGATCTGTACAGTGACCACTACAAGACTTTGATGAAAGAAATTAAAGAAGTCACAAACAAATGGAAAGGTATTCTATGTTCATGGATCAGATGAATTAATATTGTTAAAATGTCCACGCCATCTGAAGCCATCTTTAGAATCAATGCAATCCCTATCAAAATTCCAATGTCATTTTTCACACATATAGAAAAAACAATCATAAATGTGTATGGAACTACAAAGGACCCCCAAATAGCCAAAGCCATCCTGAGAAGAGCAGAACTGGAGCATCAGTTCTGATGTTAAAATATGCTACACAGCTGTACTAATCAAAACCTTATGTTATGGGAATAAAAATAGACATATGGACCACTTGAACAGAATAGAAAGCCCAGAAATAAACCCATGCATATACGGTTAGCCAATATTTGACAAAGGAGACAAGAATAGGGAAAGAATAGTCTCCTCAATAAACGGTGTTAGGAAAACTGGATAAACACATGTAGAAAAATGAAATTAGACCCCTATCTCACATCACTCACAAAAATTAATTCAACATGGATTAAAAATTTAAGCATAAGACCTGAAACTCTAAAACTCCTAGAAGAAAACTGATGGGAAAATCTCCTTGACATTGGTCTTGGCAGTGATTTTTTGGATATGATGTCAAAAGTACAAACAACAAAAGCAAAAATCAACAAGTGGGATTACAGCAAACCAAAAAGCTTCTGTACAGCCAAAGAAACAGTGAATAAAATGAAAAGACAACCTATGGAATGGGAGAAAATATTTGCAAACCATATACCTGATAAGGGGTTAATATGCAAAATATATAATGAACTCATATAATTCACTAGCAATAAAACGAATAACCCGAAAAAATGTACAGAGGACCTGAATAGACATTACTCAAAAGAAGACATGCAAATGGCCAACAGTACATGAAGAAATGCTGAATATCATTAATCAGGGATATGTAAATCAAAACCACAATGAGATATCACCTCACACCTTCTAATATGGTTGTCATCAACAAGACAAGAGATACAAAGTGTTGGCGAGGATGTGGAGAACAGGGAGCACTTGGGCACTCTTGGTGGGAATATAAATTGGTACAGCAACTATTAAAAACAGTATGGACGTTCCTCAAAAAATTGAAAATACAAATACTATATGATCCAACAATCCCACTTCTGGATACATACCCAAAAGAATTGAAATCTGGATATTAAAAAGATATCTGCACTTGCACGTTTATTGCTTCATTATTCACAATAGCTAGGATATAGGAACAAGCTAAGTGTCTGTTGATAGATGAATGGATAAAGAAGATGTAGTATATATTTACAATGGAATATTATTCAGCCATGTGAAAGAAGGCAATCTTGCCATTTGGGACAACATGGATGGAACTTGAGGGCATTATGCTAAGTGAGATATGTCAGACCAAGAAAGACAAATACTGTATGATCTCACTTATATGTGGAATCCCCCAAAAACAAGCTTGCAGAAACACAGAGTAGAATGGTGGTTACCAAGGGCTAGTGGGTTGGGGACATGGGGAGATATTGATTAAAGGGTACAAACTTGCAGTTAGTAGTTGAATAAGTCTAGAGATCTAATGCATTGCATTGTGATTATAGTTAATATTGTATTATATATTCCAAAGTTTCTAAGAAACTAGATCTTTAATGCTCTCACCACAAAAAAGTTGTAATTATGAACATGATGGAAGTGTTAGCTAACACTACATTGGTAATCATATCACAATATATAAAAGTGTCAAATCAATACACAGTTCACCTTAAACTTACACAATGTTATATGTCAATTATGTCTCAATAACGTGGGAAGAGGAAAAGAAAATATGATTTAGAGAAAATGCTGAGGGAAAATATCCAGGCTACAAATAGGATTAAAGCAACAGATACAGATATTCAGCATGATAAGCCAAGTCATCAGGTTGGTTCTCCTTTCACTTCTCACCTTGTGAGAAGGGTGAAAAGCCTATTTTCCCACTCCCAGCTGTTCTGGCTTCTTATTATCCCTTGGTCAAGTCTCAATGATTCTTTGCTTTGGTTTCACCAGGACATGCACCTTTCCCCTTGCTGACTTACTCTAAGCCCTCTCAAAATGTACCTAGTCCCATTCTCCCCTATTCCCACTCATTTTCTGCCCAGTGACTGTACCTAACCTGATAAATAAATCACGGTATTACACCTGTGGGTGATCAAATACTAATTCATTTATTAACTCTCCCAAGTAACTCCTGTGTAGTGTTTTATAAAACATTTCAGAAGAGAGGTGCCTTCGCATTCACTGTTCCCCTGATCATATTCTCTGACAGCCCTATAAGTTGTTTCCCTCCTGCATTCTCACATGCTTATCTTAAACCCTCAAACCCAGTCCTTCATTTCTCCCAATACAAAGGCAGTTATCTGGCTGTTGGGGATTCCTCCAAAACAATGTGACTTGAAGATCATTCCATATAGGTTAATATAGATCTATCTCATTCCTGTTAACTGCTTCATTGCATTCCAGAGTATAACTATACCATAGTTTATTAAGTCTATTTCCATTGATAGACATTTAGGTTGTTTATAATTTTTTTCATGATTATAATCAATGCTGAAATGAACATTTTTATTATATATATATCTACATATATGAGAGTTCTTCTGCAGTAGACACCAAAGAGTGGAATTTCTGGGACATAGGGTATATGGTATTTTTTGTCATAATAGATACAGAAAAATTTCCCTCTAATATGACTACCATTGTTTTATCTCCAACCTGTAGTGTATAATAATTGCTCATTTCTGTATATTTTGCCAATAATTGGTCTTATAAAACTTGCAAATATTTGCCAGTCAAATGAGTGGAAAATGGTTCTCATTTTCATTTCATATCCATGATTAGTACTGAGTTTGAATATCTTTTTATATGTTTATTGACAATATATAATCAATCTGGAAATTATATCCAGATTATTATTGTTAATTTTTATTACTATTTTGACTTGATTGTTAATTATTAGTGTTAATTTTTATTCCTGTTGTATATTGTGTTTTTTGTCTTATTATTTGTATGACTCTTTATATATGCTGGACACAAATCCTGGTTTATATGTGTGGCTTTTTAACTTTTTATGGCATCTTTATTGTTCACATGTTTTTTATTTTCAGAAATATTAACCATACATCTATTATGACATTTAAGACACTGCTGTGTTTTTATTGCATTCTGGTATCCCTCATTAGAAAGTGAATTTCTTGACAGCAGCTGTGTTTCATTCATCTCCATAGCAACCAGAAAAGATCCTGGATTATTCATAGCTTTTTCAGTCAATATTTGTAGCATCAAGTTGATGATGCTTTTAACCCAAAGAGATGACAATGAGTCTTAAATAAATGAGTAAAGAAATATTACTGGAGAACCTATTAACTCCGAGATTTCTTGTTTTATATCATTTGTAGTAAAAATCCCTTTCTGGTAGCCCCAGGAATAGTCACTCTTCAATCCGTCCTTCTAGCTCTTGGTCTCAATCTTTCTCAGATAATTTTCCCCTTTCTCCTTTTTTTCCCAGTGTCTCTCTGAAGGACAAAGCTTCCCAAAGCAGAGTCTTCAGACAAGGCAGCTTCCCACATCCCCACCCAGGGCTGGTATTTGTACTGAGGTAGCTTTGGAGTTTAAAGCTGTCCCAAAATCGTCCCTTACCATACTCTTTCTTAGGGAAAAACAAACAAGCAAAATGGTGAGAACAGGGATGGGCAGGGAAACCTAGCCAAGTTTCATCACAACTTTACTCAGTTAAGGGAAAGAGAAAGATCTACTCATGCCATGCCATGCTGAGGAAACATAAAATGGAGACAAAGTCAAGATAATAGCCATGGTTTCTGAAGTTTAAAATATTTTTATTAATAAAAAAGTATAATAATCAAACATAAGATTGCTTAATACCCAAGCATAAATCCTGCCTGGATGCCACAGAGGGAGAGTCCCATTGGGCTAGTACAGAGTAACCTCTAAGTGGCCATGATAACAGAGGCAATTCTTGAATATCTACAGGTGCATAACAGACTTGTATATGAGAGATTGCTCATGATCCTAGCCTCAAAACCATGTCTCTGGAGCAAGAACTAATATAAAACAGAGAAAAACGGGATGCTGCTCTAAAGCAGTGAAATAACAAGGCAAAACAGAAGAGTTACAGAGACTAAAGCTTAATATACTGTTCTATAATTTCTTTTAAACAAACCAACAATGACAAAAAAAGTTCAATAAATCCCTTTACTGGAGGCTCCTTTCCTCTACACATACACACAAAAGAGTCAGTTTCTGGCACTGCTCTCCCATTGTGACCTCCTGTCAAGAAACAGGGATGGACACCACTAGGGATTCTTTTCTTTTCATTCAGAAATGCAATGAAAACAGCACTGTATACAACATAGTTATAAAGTAATGTTCAACATACTTGTACTAACCCTGCGAAATGTCTACTGGAAGGGAAGAAGAGTTTCTTAACACTTAACAAAATAGTATCTCTCACTCTACCCCTGACACACTACCAGAAAAGGAAATAGAAGGTGAAACCTGTGTTTGAGAATAAAGAAATATCCTGTCACTTGTATAAATTCTATTTTCTTCCATCCCACTCCCACCCCAACCACCCCATCTGACTTCCCTCCTATCTAAACTATTCAGAGTACACTAAGTGGGAAAAGAGAAAATGTAACCAGTGAAGTTGAACTGGCCAAAGTCTGAAGGGCTCTGAGAAATTCCCTTTGTGCTTCTCATAGGGTAACATGTAATGTGGTCCAGGCAGAGTGAGGAAAGGGGAAGAATGCAGCTTCTGAAGCAATGGATTTTGCCTACCTATTCCTATAGGCTCCTAATATGCTCTGAGTCTGAAAAGAGATGAGAAACCTATAGGTAGTAATGAAAAGAATGTAGGGAAAGTGAGAGGAAAAGAAGAAAGAATATTGCTTCCAGTGACCACTCTTCAATTATCCTTGTTACTGACTCAAATTTAGCTCTTTATCACCCAGGAAGCCTAATCCTCTCATTTTTCTAGGGTAAATGTAGGGTACTATAATTATCATTATAATAATGATGATAATACTTTGTTCATTTAAGGATCTCCCATTATTTTTGCCAACATCCATTAATGAGAATCCTCACAACATTCCTGTGAGGTAGATACTTGGATTCCCATTTTACAGATGGGTTAACTGAGCACACAGTGGTGGTGTGACTTGCCTAAGGTCAACCAAGTGAAAGATTGGAAACTATGGAAGAGAGGTAACTTAGGGTAGAACCCCTACTGTCAGAGAGTCATATTTACCAGTGAGAAAATATAGTGCTATGTGTTTCTTTAAATTGGGTACATCCACTTTCTTCTGTGTCCATCTGTCTATATAGGTATTAGAAAACTGTGGATAATAATTTACCTTGGCTTATTCTAAGTTGGGTCAATTTCCAATGGTTTGGTTCTTAAAAAAACTATTTTGGGACAATATAGACTCAAACATCCTGGAAGTCAGATCACAGAAATCCCTAATTCCCGATATTTGCAGATCGCTTTGTTTCAAAGAGTTGTTAGAGTCCTGAAAATGTTACTATCGTGTACATAAGCACAGAGCTCATTTCCCACAGGCGTACAGGTTAACAATTCAGATGTATAATTGAATTGAACAATTAAGTAAATACATGGCAGAGTATGGGAGCCAAATTTCTCACTGTTGGAGTGGGAGGTTACAGATAAGCAAAGAAAAAAGGCTAGAATTATTCATGTGGTAATGGATTGGAGTTGGAGACATCAGTATGAACTCATGCTTAGTTTAATAAAGATATGGATGATTACATATAGAAATAATGTAGATACATGTATCTACATGAGTTAATGTACACACATGTATTTCTTTGCTCTGTCAGCTGAGATGGCCTAGAAGCAATAATACCCCAGTTGTGACAAGCATATCTAAGGCCTAGATCTTAGTTTCTAACATAATTTTCCATTAAAAGAAACCAAGAGTCCTTAAAGAAATGGTTGATTATAGAAGTGGGCCAAAAAAAATATACAAGATGAGCCTGGAGCAGCTTGTAATGCCAGAAAATAAGGATGTGCTAAAAAAAATGATAGGGGTATGTCAAAAGGACTTGCAAGTCAATCCAAAAGAGTACTCAATGGCCAAAGCTGGAACAATTTGAGCAACAGAATAAAGTTGTATTGGATTATAACCCAAAGTATGAAATAAATATCCATGAGTCCCTACTGATACAAGTAAAGAATTGCATAAATAAATACAGGGAGAAGAGAGAAATTTCCCATAAAGAAGAATTCCAAATAATTTATATAGATCTCTCAAGAATGTAGTGCATAACTCACTGCTCAGGTGTGGGCTACACATAGTGACTTTCTTCCAAAGAGTACAGTATGAATGAGGGGGAGGGAAGAGTTCAGAGGAGAAATCTGACAAACACTATCTCAGCCAGTTGATCAATGTTAACATCAAGAGTATAAGTTATGATAATATGATGTGATAAAAATGTCAGTTCACCTCTATGGTTTTCCTCCCTAAAACTCATAACCTCATGAGAAAAACATCAGACAAATCTCAATTGAGGGACATACTCCTTGGAACTGTCAAGGTCATAGGAAACAAGGAAAGTCTGAGAAACTGTCATAAGCAAGAGAAGCCTAAGGAGACATGACCACTAAATGTGATGTGGGATCCTGAATGAGATGCTGGAATAGAAGAAGGATATTAGGTAAAAACTAAGGAAATCTCACTAAAGTTTAGGCTTTAGTTAATAATAATGTACCAATACTACTTCATTAGTTGTAACAAATGTACGATACTAATGAAAGATGCTAATAATAAGAAAAACTGGATAGCGGGTATAGGAAAATTCTCTGTACTACCTTTACAACTTTTCTATAAATCTTAAACTGTTCTAAATTAAAAATTTACTTAAAAAGAAGTTACTCTCACAAAGCTTTCTGTTTTTCCCATAATTCACTCCACCTAATCCAGCCAACCAGTTCACATTCTTCATTATTTTTCCTGAATTTTTCAATCATAATTATCAATAGTTATGTTTAACTGCCAATCATGTACAGATAGAGGAATTCTATTGCAACAAATCCCAGGATATTATCCAACCCTTTGAAACAAGGCCATTTTCCATGCCCTAGGCAACTGTCTGCATAATGGTGCTTTGCTGGTATGAGCATAGAAAATGCAATTAATCCCAAATTCTACCTAAGAGAGACAGTTCCTTTCCATCTCACTGTCTATTTAGCAAAGTTCTATGAGCTTTGGCACAACACTCTATTACACTATATTTGAATCTTTGTACTCTATGAAATCCTCTTAATAAATTTTGGAATATTTCTTAAGGAATACATAAATAATTAGAAGGATTTCATATTATTTGGAGGGGAGAGGGTAATGAGAATAGGGTTAGACTTGTTTCCTAACTATAGACAATTAATAAAACATTAGCAAAGTCCCTCATTACTTGCAGGAAAAAATTCTAATAAAGGCTTAGGGATGTCAGGGATACCAATATTTGGAATTCTAATTTGATCATCCTAGTTAGTATAACAGTATCTTTGATAGCCTTTATTTATAAAGAGATCATATGCTCCAATGCAAAAGATCCTGAGGTCTGAGGGGCACAGGTCAGTTATGAACTCTGGAAAAGAAGTCTCAGCATCCAAACTCTGAGGAAAATGGGTAAGCCTTTGGATTCTACTGTAAAATACCATTATCAATTACTCAATTATAAGTTTAAACCTCTGCATGATGGTAACACACCTTTAACAATCTGTGTTACAGCTACATAGAAGTCTCCTTTAACAGACTGGCCATAGATACTTCCTAGTGCTGTGGCAATTAGTCTACAGTGTGGAACTTGTACATCAAAATCAGGGAAAAGCCTATATTGAAATAAGAAGGATAATAGTAAAAATCTGCATGTCACTTTGAAAAATACAGCAGTTTTAGAATTTTTGAGGGATATGGTTTGGAAAGACATTGTAAGTTGAACTAAGGTAAATCAAATGTGAGATATTATAGAAAGTGTTAGAATAGAAAAATTGTGTGCCTAATGTTATATGTCAATGACTACAAGCACATTTGACTTACTACTTAATCAATTGTAAATGATCCTGTGAGTGGTCTAAAGTTTTCTGAAGCATAACACATAAAATTGGACAAATACTGCAAACAATCATGTAAAATTTTCTTTAATTTGGTTTAATAATGAGATCCCTGGGAGAATGTGTGTGCAGGTTTATAAGGCCTCAAGGTAACATCTGGAGAAAGAATTTGACCCTTTGACCCATATTTGTCTCATCTGTAAAATACAAATGATATGGGGGACTAGATGGTTAATAGGATCCCCTCTTGGTGCTAGAATTCTATGATTTAGTTAGAATGGACGGCCTTGGGAGGTAGTAACCTAAAGTATTCAATCAGGGACTGGTTGAATTTCTGCCAAGGAAAAGGAGTCCAATATGAAGACAAATTTTAGGAGAGAGGTCGAGTCCAAAACTAAGTGACGCAAGGCCCCCTTGTCTCCGGGAGAGGAAATATGCCATGTGGAGGTAGATCTGAGGTCCAGGGCCTGGAACAGAGGGTTTTATGTCACAGAGTCTATCAGGAAACAGTCTGATTGGGAAATCAAATGTGTGTATCATGCAACCTGCTGTAATGGCTAAAAGAAATGGCTTAGGCATTCATAGCAATCGCAGAACATCAAATTGCTTTTTGTATGTCAATTTTCACTACAAGTCTCTTATATTCCATTTGAAACGCAGGAATGCACACTAGTAATGCCATGGAATTAACAAAACTTTTCTTCCAAACCCTCACCTCTGTATAACATGGCCCCAGTGCGTGATTTCTCATCACGCAATATGCTTAAAATAGTTGCTTTATGTAAACAATGGAATAAACAGTACAGTGCAGCCCCTCAAGATACTATCTCAACAGGCTACAATTTGAATGAAGTTTGTGATTACAGCACTTTAGATATCCTCTCCAAATGAAAGCCCCCTCTATTTGTTTTCAGAAACATCTTGGGTCTGATTGTTCCTTTCACTGCCTAACATACTCTCCTGAAACACTTTTCTCCCTACTGGCATGTTGATGAGTGTTTTGAATATTTGACCAAATTTAACCTAATAAAGAATATAATTGTGCAGCAAAATCTTTAATCCTGAAAGAGGAGGAAGCATAGGAGAAGGAGAAGGACAAGAAGATCCCTTCCTTCCTTCCGATGGAGTTAAGAAACAGAAGGACGAGCACTATCTGAAAACCAAATTGTAAGAACAAATAGGATTGGATTTATAAAACCTTTAAGTTTGGTATGGAACTCAGCTTATTCACTGAGAATGTGCTCTATGCTCAGGAACCAAATCCCTGTAAATCTTACTAACCAACTACATTGTTATGCCCTCTTCTGTCTAGGAACTTGACAAAAGTCATTTTAGGATACCACTAAATTCTGACTGAAAAAAACATAGATAAGAATTCTAGAAACAAGAGAAAAAATAGGGGAAAAAGCAGCGTATGTTTGTTCACAGCCTTGAGTTTGATTCCTGTTTTGTTATTGTTGGGAAAATGTCCTATCTCAGAGTGGAGGGGTAAGGGTGGGGGTGGGGCAACCATGGGTGCTTCACTGGAATTCCACCCATGCCGAGGTTGAAAAAATTGGGTACTGGACAGTGGAGAGGTGAAGATGGAATATGAGGAACCACCATAGGAGACCAGCGATCTTCTTCTCTAGTCTCATCAACCTGGCTCAGTGAGCTGCTCCAACCCCATCCTAGAGGCAAGTTGAAGTCAAACAGGAAAAGATGGGCATGATCTCAGCACACAAACAGGAAAAATACCAGGGCAGCTCTTCTAGTGCGGTCTGTGCTGCTCACATGGTGTCATGGCGCCGGCGGTGCAGGGAGAGGTGGTCAGAGCGAGAAAAGCTACGGTTGCAGTCTGTGCACCTGAAGGGCTTGATGCCTGTGTGCTTGCGGAAATGGCGGGTGAGCTCATCTGAGCGAGCAAATTTCCAGGAGCAGCCATCCCAGGTACATTTATAAGGCTTCTCTCCTAAAAAAAAAAAAAAAAGGGAATATGACAAAACAGAGTCAGAGAAGAAATGTGTGGACACTGGAAAGATACCAGAATACATAACCTTTTATCAAGTCTTTAGTCAAAAGGTGAGGTAATCACTTCGAATACATACTCTTGTTCACCTTGACAGAAGTCCTAAAGAGAAGCCAAGATGGTAAAGTGGAAAGCACATAGGCTGTGGCTCAAACAGACCTTTGCTTGAATCCTGGCTCTACTACATACTATCTATGTGACCTTAGATAAATCAGTTTTCCTTGGTGGAGTCTCTGTTTTATCATCTCTAAAGGGGGGGATAAAAATACCTCATAGGGTTACTTAAAACATTTTCTTGGGCGCAGCCTCATGGCCTAGTGGTTAAGTTTAGCACACTCCAGCTCTGCTACAGAGTTCAGTTTCCCATGTGGACCTACATGGCCAGTGAGTGGACATGCTGTGGCTGTGATTCACATACAAAATAGAGGAATATTGGCACAGATGTTAGCTCAGGGAAATCTTCCTCAGCACACACACAAAAATTCCTTTTAAAACACAGCTAGTAAATGATAAAACTAGGATCCAAACCTAGATCTTTGGCACTTTCCCCTGTACCACACCGTAGTAACCACATGCTCTTCTCTAATACCTCCCAACAAATAGTCTAAACTAGAGCCATACATACAGGAAGAATGTGTGATTCACTAAAGTGGGCCCTCAGCTAAGGTTACAGGCCTTCTTCTGTGTAAAGTCAGAAACTCAAGGGCATGGAACTGGTGATAAGTGTCAAGTGAAATGTTTTGAAATAACTCCACGCTCAATATCTCCTGGTTGCATGTGGGTTATATATGGAATATGTATGCTTCAGATAGAAAGCAAAATGAAAAAAGGAGTATAAAAAACATTAACACAGTATGACCCTATTATGGTATATAGACCATACACCACACATTTATATACTCAGAATAAAAGCAATGTCAACATACTTAAATACATACTATGAGAAATTATTAAGTGAATATCTGGAAAGTGAGGATGAAAATGGTGGGAAGAGGACTTTTCCTTTTTTACTTTTCACCTTTCTGTATTGTTTGAATGTTTTAAAAATTATGATGTTATATCTTATGATAAAAATTTTAAAATAAAAAGGAAAGAAACTATATGAGAAAAAATGAATATTAACTCTGGTTCAGTCTAGGTCATAGGATTAATGTTTGTTTTCTTTTTAATGTGTTTCTCTATTTCCCATCTTCTACAATGAGCATGTAGTATTTTATAATCATAAATAAGCAATAATGCAGACACAAAATGCCTTGGTATTATAATGGTCTCTCTTCCTCTGGCTCTTTCTCCACTCTCTCCTTATAAATTCTCCACAGGACTTAATTTTATGCTGCTCTAAATTCTGGTGGCAATCCGGTTTGCACATACTGTTTTTCAACTTACTGCTCATCACCTACCAGTCCTCCAAAGTGTTTACTAATTAATCACACAGCTTTAAAATAATGGGCAACAGACTGGAATTTATCAGCTCAAGTTTTGGACCATACCCAGGCAAGCATTTTTAGGACTAGATGTCAATTGCTGACCATTTAAATATTCAGAAATTGCTGCATTAGCTGCTAAGAAGAAAGATAGAGTTGGACGTGTTGACACCAAAAGGTGGGCAATGAATTGTTATAAAATGAAAAGAAAAATTACTGAATGGTTGCACACACACACACAGAGGGATCCCATTTATGTTTTCTAAACTCCTGTGCCTCTGTGTCTCTTTGTTTCTGACTCTCTCTCTCTCTCTCTCTCTCTCAGACATACTCACCAGACAAAGAGAAAAGATCTGGAAGAGTACACAGAAAATTAACAGTGGGAGGGAGACTGGGACTACAGAATGTGTTGAGAGTGTGTAAATGAGATTTTCACTTTTTGGTCTCTGTAATTCTATCCCATCTCCACATCTCCCAACTGTCGCATTGCTATAAATTTTCTTGCAATCTCTCAGGAATTTCTCCTGAGAATTCCTATCTTCTCTACATCCAAATGAAGAAAGTTTGACTTGTAAAACGGTGACACATTGTGGTTGTGGGAGCTCATTACTAGAATACACAGATTACTGGTCAGCAAGGAGACCAATTTTCTTATTTCAAAAGCAGTGACCTTTCATTATAATTGAAATTATAATTGAGTATAGTTGAAAACGCTCTTGTTTGTGCCAATGCACTTCACACAACATAACTCATGCCCTACATGAACATATCATCTAAACTGAAGAACAAAACATACATAGGGAAAATAATTCATAACATCATGTGTACATAGTAACTATATGACAAAGAGAGTTAAATGTAAAATAAATTCCAAGGCTAGATGGAACTGTGGGTTCATGTGAAGGCATTGAGCTGGAGGCATGGGTAGATTTAATCTAATTAATTAATTAATTAATATATTTATGAAGGTAACATTGGTTTATAACATTGTATGAATTTCAGGTGTACATCATTATATTTTGATTTCTGTATAGACTATATTGTGTTCACCACCTAAAGTCTAGTTTCCAGCCATCGCCATACAAAAGTCCTTTACCTCTTCTACTCTCCCCTGACTCTCCTTCCCCTCTAGTAACCACCAATGTGTTCTCTGCATCTATGTTTATTGTTTTTTTTAATCTTCCTCATATGAGTGAAATCATATGATATTTTTCTTTCTCTATTGGAGTTATTTTGCTTAGCGTAATAACATTAAGGTCCATCCATGTTGTCACAAATGACATTTCATCTTTTAAAAAGCTGAGTAGTATTCCATTGTGTGCATGTGTGTGTGTGTGTGTATGTGTGTATATATACATATATATACCACATCTTTTTTATCCATTCATCTGTCAGTGGGCACTTAGGTTGCTACCAAGTCTTGGCTATTGCAAATAATGCTGCAATGAAAATTGGGGTACGTACATCTTTTTGACTTAAAGTGTCTTTGTACACTTTGGATAAATAACCAGAAGTGAAATAGCTGGATCATATGGTAGTTTTATTCTCAGTTTTTTGAGGAATCACCATACTGTTTTCCCTAGTGTCTGTACCAGTTTGCATTCCCACCAGCAGTGTATGAGGGTTCCCTTTTCTCCACAACCTCTCCAACACTTGTTATTTCTTGTCTTTTTAATAATAGCCATTCCCATGGATGTGAGGTGATATCTTGTGGTTTTGATTTGCATTTCCCTAATAATTAGTAATGTTGAACATCTTTTCATAGTCTGTTGGACATCTGTATGTCTTCTTTGAAAAAATGTCTGTTCAGATCTTCTGCTCAGTTTTTAATTGTGTTCGTCTTTTTCTTGCTTTGTATAAGTTCTTTGTATATTTTGGATATTAACCACTTATCAGATATGATATGCAAATATGTTTTCCAAGTCAGCAGGTTGTCTTCTTTTGTAGATGTTTCCCTTTGCTGTGAAGAAGCTTTTAAGTTTGATGTAGTCTCATTTGTTTATTTTTTCTTTTGTTTCCCTTGTCTGAGGAGACATATTCAAAAAGATATTGCTAAGATCAATTTAAAAGAGCATATTACCTATGTTTTCTTCTAGGAATTTACAGCTTCAGGTCTCATCTTCAAGTTTTTAATCCATTTTGAGTTAATTTTGTGTGTGTTGTAAGACAGTGGTCTACCTTCATTTTTTTGTATGTGTCTGTCCATTTTCCCCAACATCATTTATTGAAGAGACTTTTCTTTCTCCATTGTATGTTCTTGGATCCTTTGTCAAAAATTAGCAGTCCATAGGGGCCAGCCCTGTGGCTGAGTGGTTAAGCTTCCACACTCCATTTTGGCAGCTTGGGGTTCACTGGTTCGGATCCCAGGTGCGGACCTACGCACCACTCATCAAGCCATGTTGCAGCGGCATCCCACATAGGAAGAACTAGAATGACCTACAACTAGCACATAAACTATGTACTGGGCCTTTGGGGAGAAAAAAAAGACAGGAAGATTGTCAAGAGATGTTACTCAGGGTCAATATTCCTTGCAAAAAAAGTATACTTAAAAAAATTAGCTGTCCATAAATGTGTGGGTTTATTTCTGGGATTTCAATTCTGTTCCATTGATCTGTGTGTCTGTTTTTCTGCCAGTACTATCATGATTTGATTACTATATCTCTGTAGCATATTTTGAAATCAATGAGTGTGATACTTCCACTTTTGATTTTTTTTCCTCAAGAGTGCTTTGGCTATTTGGGGTCTTTTATTGTTCCATAAAAATCTTATGATGCTTTGTATCTATTACAGTGAAAAACGTCATTGGATTTCAATAGAGGTTGCATTGAATCTGTAGATTGCTTTAGGTAATACGGATGTTTTAACTATGTTAATTCTTCCAATACATGAGCACAGAATATCTTTCCATTTCTTTGTCTCTTCTTTGATTTCTTTTAAAAATATACTGTAGATTTCACTGTATAGATCTTTCATCTCCTTGGTTAAATTTACTCCTAGCTATTTTATTCTTTTTGTTGCAATTGTAAATGAGACTGTACTCTTGATAGCTCTTTCTGCTAGTTCCTTGTTAGTATATAAAATGCAATTGATTTTTGTATGTTGATTTTGTACCCTGAAAATTTGCTGTATTTATTTACGATTTCTAACAGCTTTTTGTTGGATTTTTTAGTTTTCCATATAAAAATTTGTGCCATCCAAAATCAGTGACAGTTTTACTTCTTTATTTCCAATTTGGATACATTTCATTTCTTTTTCTTGTTTAATGCTCTGGCTAGGACTTCCAATACTATGTTGAATAAGAGGAGCAAGAATGGGCATCCTTGCATTGTTTCTGTTGTTATTTTAAATGGATGCTGAATCTTGTCAAATGCTTTACCTGCATCTATTGAGATGATCATGTGATTTTTATACTTCTTGCTGTTAAAGTGGTATATCACATTGATTGATTTGTTGATGTTGAACCATCCTTGCATCCCTGGAATAAATTCCACTTGATCATGATATATAATCCTTTTAATG